GGGTCGGGGAGCGTTGAAAAAACACATGGTATCCGTACCTCCCCCAACCCGAAATTCGTGTCAAATTCGGGTCTTCGGGTTGGGTTGGGGTGGTCTGGTAGGTTGTCAGTATCTCTTGGATCGGCGCTGGACCCCGTGGCGCCAGGAGCGCGCCGCTTGCAGCGTCGGAGGCGCCGCCGGCGCAGGTCCGAGAGGTCCGCGCGGAGCACCGAGAAGTAAGGTCTGTGTCTGCGGCTCGTTTCTTCGGGAGGAGGAAGGTGCAGGAGGAGGAAGGAGGAGGAAGGATGAGGAAGGAGGAGGAGGAGGAGGGGGAGGGGGAGGAGGAAGGAGGAGGAGGAGGAGGAGGAGGCGGAGGAGGCGGAGGAGGATGAGAGGGGGCATGGCTTGGCACAGCGTCAGGGGTCGTCCTTTCAGGACCCTCTCGGGATGGCATGGCGTGCCATGGCGTCCTGCGTCCTCTGGGGGGCCCTCGGGGGGCTTGGCGTGTCATGGACCCCCAAGGGGGCTTGGCGTGGCGTGGCGTCCTCTCGGGGCCCTCCTGTGGACCCTCTTGGGGCACTCGTTGCGCCACCCTGGCACCGCCTCGAAGCCTTCGGTGAGAACTCACATGCGTTCATGCCGTGTTCTCTTCCTCCGTGGTCTGGACGTCCAGGGGGCTCTTGGAGGCCCACGCGGGGGCCGCCCGGGGGGGGGGCGCTCCCGCTCCCCGCCGGGGCTCCTCCCCCCCGTGGCGCTCCCCAGGGGGTTGGCCCTCCAGCGGCCGGGGAGCTCGACGGAGCCCACGGCGCACCGAGCGGCCGGGGAGGCAAGAGCACAAGAAGGCATGCCCCGGAGCCTCGCTGGGGCCTCTCCTTGTCGGAGGCCTGGAGATGGTCGGCGACTGCAATCGGTGCGGTTACGCGCGGGGGTGCGGTCTGCGAGCTGCTTTGTGGCAGCCTGTCCAGGGCCTTCTGTGAGAGACAATGTCCTAAACTGTCGCCGTTTCGAGCGACAGTGTCATCCTCGATGCGTGCTCCACTGTGCTAGCAGGAGCGACAGTGTCATGTGATTCGGTCGCATTGAGTGACAGTGTCATCCGTTTCCCGGGGGCGGGAGGGGCAGATATGACGGGAGGCGAACCGCACCCTTCGCAATCCGCACCCATTGTAGTCGCCGAAATGGGCACCAACACTCAAGCAGTGGCGAAGCGTCCTGGCGTGCCTATAGGGTCTACCACACAATGTGCTAAGAACCTTGTGTGGCTTCTACGAAGTATTATTAGAGCATGTCTGGCCGGGACTATCTTGTTTCAGCACATCGGGTTTATGTTCCAAGAACATTGTTTCTGTTCTTCGAACCTCTTCGGGTTCTAAGAAAATGTCGTGGCAGGCCTATAGGAATGCCAGGACGGTCGGTCCCTGCTCAAAGCACCTAAACAGGAGGGTGCGTCCACTGGTAGAAGATGATCTCAGATCTTGGTGGTACAGCTTCGGCCACCTAGGAAACCCGAACATTACCATCATCACCGAGATCAGGATCCTCTTCCCTCGGTGGAGGCACACACCGCCGATATTGGTGTTGGTGCAAGCCTCGAGGTCTCCGACTTCGGGCGTCTATCGGAGGCCTGACTCTTTCGGCCTTTGATGGCTCCCTGGAGAGATCTCAGGGGTTCGGGGGGCTCGTGGGGCCGTCGTCGAATGGTCGTCGTACGCCTTGCAAGTCTTCTCTCCCCCGAGCGTCCCGCCATCCACGGGGGGGAGTGGCAGCCGGGGAACCCGCCCGCAAAAAAAAAAACGGTCGTCGGGAGCCACAGGCCCGGCCACGACGTCGCAAGCCCTCCTCCTCCTCCTCCTCCTCCTCCTCCCCCTCCTCCTCCCCCTCCTCCTCCTCCCCCTCCTCCTCCTCCGCAACGGAAGCAAGCGCGCCCCCCCGCCCAGAATTTTCGGCGCGCGGCTTTGACCAGCATGGGCGCACGCTGCTCTCTATCTGGCTCTGGATGCCCTTCCGGCGGGGGCCTGCCTGGAGCCTTCGGGGTCCTCCTCACTCCTCCTTCTCCGTTCCTTTTCCCTATACATAATGGAGGATGACGATTGATAAATGACCGGGTGTCGTGTTCACGCGGCGGCGCCCGGGATGACGATTAGAAAAAATCGGCCGTGGGCTGGAAAATTATTTTTTTAAATCGTTCTCCTCCAGTCAGAAAGTTAGGCAGAAATAACAGAAAACTATTGTTTCAATCGTTCTCTCACATTTTAATCGTCATCCCGCATTAACCTCTCCCTGTCGCACCCCGAGGCCAGTTTTTAGGGCGGGCCGGGCGTTTCGCCTGAGACTTCCTCACCACTGGTGGCCCTGAAGCTTCAAATTGGCAACAGTTTCGCAGATGGAGGGCGGATGGTTTTCAACATGTGGCTCTCGCCCTAGCGTTGCGCACACTCTTTTGAAACATGTGCAAGAGTTCCAAGGATTGAGGGCGACCCGTTTTCAAAATGTGGTTCTCGTCTCAGCGCCGCGCACATTCGTTCTAAGATGTTGGCAGAGCTTCACGGATTGAGGGCGACCCGTTTTCAAAATGTGGTTCTCGTTTTCGTGCCGTGCACATTCTTTCTAAGATGTTGCGAGAGCTTCACGGATTGAGCAAAATGTGGCCTCTCGCCTTAGTGCCGCGCGCATTCGTTCGAACATGGTGCAAGAACTTCACGGATTGAGGTCGACCCGTTCAAGAGTTTCACGGATTTCCCATTATCAAAGGACCAGAAATGTTGTTTTGGATGGGTTTTGGATTTTGCGGGTGCAACAGTTACGTTGATTCGCAGTGTTGAAGTCCCCCAAATGGCCTTCTTGCATAATTCAGGATCGCCAAAACGCAACAGTCAGGTTGACCCGTGGCGTTGGAATTCCGAGAACAATGCTTTGGCATGCTTCAGGGTCTTCAAGCGGTTGTCTTCCAACGAGGCAGTTCCCTCAATGGAAATGAGCCGTTGTAGGGGCTTGTGGAGAGGAGCTCGGAGGGAGGGTTTATTCCAACATCGTTGATGACTCTTGGGTTCACACTGCTCCTCCTCCTCCTCCTCCTCCTCCTCCTCCTCCTTCTCCTCCTCCGCCTCCTTCTCCTCCTCCTCCTCCTCCTCCTCCTCCTCCTCCTCCTCCTCCTCCTCCTCCTCCTCCCCCTCCGCCTCCGCCTCCGCCCCCTCTTCGCTTGTCCTCATTCGCTCTGGATACCCTTCCCTCGCTCTGGAGGGCTTCCTCCTCCTCCCCCCGCTCCTCCGCCCCCTTCCTTTGTCCTCCTTCGCTCTGGAGACCCTTCCTTCACTCTGGAGGGTCTGGCTGGAGCTTCGAGAGCCTCCGGGACCTCCTCCTTATCCTAGTCATACCCCCTCGCGCCGTGACAGAATCACGGCGAAAGTTGCCGTTTGCTTTTATCGGCCTTTGGGGGCCCTCCCCTCACGGGGCCCCAGGATGGTCCAGAGCGGCTCAGGATGAAAGGCCCGTCTTTGGGAGTGCGTCGAGCCCTCGGGGGGTCCGCTTTGCGAACGCAACGCGACGTCGGGGGCCTGGGCCCGCCACCTCCCCCACCCCCAAACCGCTCGCCCACGCCACTCTCGCCCTCGCCTCGGCTCCTCCTGCAGACTCCTCCTGCCCCTCCAGCCTCTCTGCAGAAGCAGCAGCCTCCGCCACGATCGTCGGCTGGCCGCTGGCCCGTTCCCCAGAAAGAGATGGGCTCAGGCACCCCCCTCAAAAGAGTCTGCAGCGCGCTCCCCCTCCGCACAGTGGAGACGCTGAGGGTGGGGCCACTTTGGGCCCAGGAGGCTCTCGCGTTTTTGGGGCCGTTCCTCAGGCTTGGGTGGGGAAGCCTCTTCGTGGCCGAGGCTCGCCGTAGCCAGAAAGGCGCCCTCGTCATCCGTCTGGCGCTCCCGAGTGGTAGTACGATGGCTGTAGCAGTTTGGGCCCCCGCCGCTCCACTGGCGGTGCGCCCCGGGGCTGGGCCGCGCGCCTTTGCCGCGCACACCCAGCGGCGACCGCGCAGTGGGCTGCCAGAGGACGCTGCTTGGCGCCCTGATCGGCGACGGCCATGCACGGCTGCCGCGCATGGGTGCCTCTCATGATCGACGAGCAAAGACATAGAGGATCAAGGTTTTTCACCGTTTTGGGCTGGCGTGTTCGTGTCCTGGGGACGTCAGGAATCGATCCGGGATGCAAAATGAGTTTGGGAAGGCCTGCGGGAGGGACCTGGCGACCAACCTTGAGCGCACGTCGTCGAAGGATACGTGGGATACTACAAGCGGCGAACACATACATATCCATGCCCTCGCGGCATTGATGCCGAGGCTGAGACGCGATCCCATGGATACGCAATCCTGTGGACACGTGTCGTGCGGTGCATCCGCGCGGAGCCGCCCTATTTCCATGGGGTCGCGGCCGACCAGGCCGCGAGGCCGTCCTGCGAACACGCTTCCTGCTGGCGAGCTTCGAGTGGAACGTGGAGCCAAGACTGCGGCGTCGTGGTTCTGCCAGGGGGGGGAAGGGAGAGGAGGAGGAGGAGGAGGAGGATGAGGAGGAGGAGGCGGAGGAGGAGGAGGAGGAGGAGGAGGAGAAGGGGTCGGGGCTCCCTTTGGGGGGCGCAGTCCGTGCTGACGGCGACTGCCCGAGGGTCGGGCGCCGAAGGCCCGGGAAGCTGTGCGGGGGGCCACCTTTCCGGGGCACGTTAGGGGTTACGTCGTGCCCGTCCCTCCACTCGGGGGCGGAAAAGAGGGGGGTGACGACTAGGGGGTGGGGGATATCATGGCGGGGGCCATGATTTTTCCCCAGATTTCAGGGCGCCTCTTCTTGTTTCGTCACGTCCCTGGTCCCCCCGCGGGGCCGCGCACATGCCGCCGGTCATGATTTACACCCCCCCCTCTTGGACACACCCCTCTTTGCCGCTCCCGAACAGGGGGAACCTTCAAAAACAGTCAAAAAGTAGCCTGGGGACGACTTCTCTGATATATGTTTCGACCACTTGGGGGTGTCTTCTGCTGGGGCATGTTTCAGTTTTCGTCCAACATCCGCCTGGGGGACAGGCCCGACTTAACGCTGGGGGGATGGGCTCCGGAGGGCACGCATCGACCTCCACTCGCCCAGTGATCGCCGACAGAGGCCGACGGCCCACCCGCCCCCTCGAGCTGGGCCGGCCCCCCTGCCGTCGCCCGCCCGGGCCTCTGTCCCGACGGGTGCGGCGGGGGCGCTCGTGGAGGGACGTGTCCAGGAAGGGGGGAACAAGCAGTGACATAAAGACTAATACTCGGAGGTCCGCGCGGATTTCTCGGATCGGCGCTGGGGCCCCCCGGCGGCGCCTCCGGCGCCGCCCCTGGCGCGCTCCCCGCGCGCCAGGGAGGGGGGTCCAGCGCCGATCCGAGAGATCCGCGCGGACCTCCGAGTTGTTATGTTTATGCCACTTTTTGTTCCCCGAAGGAAGCTGCGGACCCTGAATTTCTGATGTTCCAACCTACTGTAGCCTTGATCGCCAGAAAGGAGCTCGAGCACCAGAAGTAGAGTACCGAAGCCTCGAGGGTTTTCGCGTTGCCGGCCCTGGGAGACACTCGTCCGGCACTGTTTCGACACTCTTTCGACACTTTTCCGGGTGCTCGGAATTATTTCTGGGATGTGGTCTTTGAGTACGATTGGAGCAGCATAACCCTGGATGGCTCCTTTTGTCTGACGAGGGCGGCTGTGATGTCCCTGGGCAGCGGGACCCAAGGGGGAAGAGGAGGTCCACATACTCGTCCCGAGGTGCTGGCGCTGGCGCTCGCTTCGAGCATCTGCGGCGGCGCGCATGGCGGTGGCCCCGATGACGTGGGCGACTCCGACGAAGGCGTCCAGGATGACGTGCTTAGCACCGAGCAGATGCACGGTATCCATCAAAAGATCGACGCAAACGGCGACGGAAAGGCGTCCATGGATGAGGTCCTAGCCTTCTCGGACAGCGTGCGGAGGCAGATAGCGGCGGGGGACATACCGACCGTTCTGGAAGAGATCGACGTCAACAGGGACGGGAGGGTGAGCCTCGACGAGTTCCTGGAGGATATCGGTACGAGCGACGACGACGATGACCCTCGAGAGGCGGAGAGGAAAGCGGCGCAAAAGGAAGCGGAAAGCGCGAAGTTTCTTGTCGCCGACACGGACAAGGACGGGCTGCTGGGCACCGAGGATTGAGGAGGATCAAGACTGCATAAATTCAGGAGGGGAAACAACACACGGACACAATTAATTGTCGATCCCCAGGAAGATATGGAAAAGTATGGGAAGTGGGGGGGAAGACAAAACCCCAGAAAGTATTGGAAACATATGGGCAATCTGGTTATTTGTGTGTATCCATTTGTGTGTTCCAGTTCCCCTTCAATAACAAAACGTTCTCGTTTCGAGGACCATGTCCGATGGATCGGGGCGGCGCCAGTCTCCGACCCGAGAAGTCCCCGCACGCGGACCTCCGACATCGGCTGCGCGTCAGAGCGACCAGTTTCCGCCAGAGTGAGTTTGGGCGCGGTCAACGAGCTCAAAACACACACACACACAACAAACAAAAACACACATGTTTCCCACACATGTTTGTCCCACAGTGTGTGTTTTCCCACAGTGTGTGTGTGTGTGTGTTTTTTTGTGTGTGTGTGTGTTTTTCCCACAGTGTGTGTTTTTCCTCACTTACAGTCAACCCGCACAGCAATGACGAGCGGCTTTCCAAGATCACCCTCGCATCCTTCCCCTGTCGGCCCGTCCTTGGCCGCCGTCGCTGGCCGCGCCCCGCTCGCAAAGTGTCGGCATGGCCTTCCAAGGCCCTTGCGCTCTTGCCGCGCAGACTTACGATAAGGGTTGACTGTGCACTGGTTTGTGCTGTTAGACGCAGCTTCCTCGCGGCCCCCTGAAGCCCTGCTCCAATCATCGCTGCGCAGGGTCGCTCTTGCGTGTAGCCGGCGGATGTTTCAGCGTACGCCGATCGTCGTTGCTTCTCCGAGGAGCTGCAGTCCCTGTTCTTCCCGGAGACGCACGGCGGCGTCCTGAGCGTTGTTGCCAGGCACGCGCTGCAGGACGTCGTGAGGGAACACGAGAGCCACTGACACGCCGCCGTGGGCAGACCGCGAGCGCGTTGCCTCTTCGCTGTTGTCCAGCAGCGTGGTGCTCCTTCCACAGAAGCGCGCTGACGGGTTCCTCACGGCGCCGTGTGGTTGATTTTGGGTTTGGGCTCCCCCAGGAGAGGGACCGGGACGGCGACGGCCTGCTGAGCCTGCAGGAGTTCTGGGACGGCGACAGCCTGGAGGAGGATGAGCTGCTCGTCTCGCGGGCAGGCAAAACCATGCCCAGAAGACCCCCAGCGCCGCGAGCTTCATCCATTATCAACCTTTCTTCTTGACTGCGACCTTCGAGAAAGAAAACGCTGCACACGCATACTTCCAGAGGTCTGCGCGGATTTCTTGGGTCAGCGATGCACCCCTCTGGCGGCGCCTCAGGCGCCGCCCCTGGCGCGCTTCGCGCGCCAGGGAGGGGTCCAGCGCCGAAAGCCATGCGGACCTCCGAATTGTTTGTGCTTGTGTAGTGGTTGCTTCTGTCTTCCAAGACCTCCATAACCTTTAGAGCTTGTTGAATGTGTGTTGTTGCTGTTGTTGTTGGTGCTGTTGTTGTTGTTTATGTTGCGGTTGTTGTTAATGCTGTTGCTGCTGCTGTTACGGTTGTTGATGTTGTTGTTGTTGATGGTGTGTTTGTTGTTGTTGTTGGTGTCGTTGTTGTTGGCGTTGGTATTGTTGGTTTTGTGCATGCTGTTGGTGCTGATGATGTTGATGCTGTTGTTGGTGGTGTTGTTGTTGATGTTGTTGTTGTGTTTGTTGGTGTGGTTGCTGTTGCTGCTGCGGTTGTTGTTGGTGGTATGGTTGCTGTTATTGTTGCTGTTGGTGTTGTTGGTGTTGTTGTTGCTGCTGATGCTGCTGCTGGTGTTGCTGCTGATGAAAGTTCTGTTGGTTTTGTTGTTGTTGTGGTTGTTGTCGGTGGAAGTGGTGTTATGTTTACTGCCGTGGTTGTTGCTGCTGCTGTTGTTGTTGGTGGTGTTGCTGTTGCTTTTTTCCTAGACCTCGAGAGTCCTGCCTCGGGCCTTCGGGACCTTCCAAGACAGGATCTCGAATTAAAGCATAAGCTGTTGCGGGTGGATCGGAGGGGCACGGGGTGCGAGCGTTGAGTAAGCTCACGACGGGCCTGGGCCTGGACAGCGAGATTCGCGCTCCTCTTCTGGCTGGGCAATCGATTTGGGGGAACAGTAGGGGCAGCAGGATGACGGTCGCAGGTGAGTTTTGCCCCCCCGCCCCTCCCCCCCCCCCGATTTGTCAACGGAAAAAGCGGCTCAGAAAAGGAGGGAAATTCGGGGATACACCCCCAGGTTGCTACTCGGAAGCATCCCCTTCGAGGATGGGCGCCCCTATGTCGTTTATCTCCGAGTTGGGCCCCACATGTTGAGTCCATTCGACAGCCCCACGAAGTCTGGGATGCGGGCTGACATATCCCCTGTTAGGATGGGAGGGGCAGCAGCAGGGTGACGGGCAGGAGCGAGGCAGAGACGCACGCGCACATGAATGCGCACGGGCTTCGAGAGAACACCTTGCGCACGCGTTCGTCACACGAGGGCGGCCTCGCGAGCACGAGGGGCATATCCGTGTACGTGGCTGGGCTCGTACGTCCTCTTGGGGCTCCCCAGATGGGGCACGCCGGGGGAGGGGGAGGAGAGGGAGAGGTCGGAGGGCAAAGCCCACTGGCTTCCTCAGCAGGCCAACATCTCGGGCCTGTGCCGAGTGTCGTGCTCCCTCTCTGGCCGCAGGCGTCTACAGACACAGTTGGTGTCGTTGCGTGCACAGACACACTCGGGGTGGATGCGTCTATGGAGAACGTGGCCGTTGCGGTTGGCGCAGTTCGAGGTCGGAGAAAGGGTAGACCCGTCTGCGGTATGTTCTTGTTCTAGAGCAGGCCCCACATGGTGCTCCAATGGCCAGGGCAGAATCTCTCCCTCATTGTGGTTTCGTTTGCCCCGGCCGTCATCCAGACCGAGCAGGAGGCCTTCCGAAAGCTGGACGCCGACTCTAGCGGCAAGCTGGACGTGAAAGAGCTGGAGGCGTGGGCGTCGCCCTAATTAGAGGATCCCGGAGGCCCCCCGAGGCCCCCGGAGGCCAGAGAGTTTTGAAAACATTCAAGCACCTCGGTCCTCGATGTCCCTCCTCCTCCTCCTCCGACGACGACGACGACGACGATGACGACGACGACGACGACGACGACGACGAGCTCGAGGCGTGGGAGTCCGGCAGGTTCCACGTGGAGGAGGCCGTGAAGTCGCTATCCGCGCGTGGTCCGTGGGCCGCCCCGATGGGCAGGAGTGGCGCTGGAGCCTGCCGTCGGCATCGTTTATCCCATCCCCATCCCCATTCCCATCCCCTTACGAGACCCCCACCCTTGGCATCGCTCGGACGTGTGCATTTTTTTCTCGGCGAGGACCTTCGAGGAGCATCCTCGACCATCTGGCGAAAAATCCACGCACGAAACCGAAAAAAGCACAGGGAATGGACGTCCGAGCGATGGCCAGCACCAAATTGCCACCCCAGTTGGGGATACACCCCTCGAAACCCGAAGGGAACGACCTGTATCCCCATTCAGGGGGGCAAGTCAGCCAGTGGGGCCCGGGCCACGCCGCTGGGGATGGGGATCGGTTAAGCGATACTCATGCTGGGCGCAGCCCTCCTCCCGCCCCTCCTCCAGCGCCTGGCTGTATCAACATCCGCCGCCCACTGCTGTCCTGGGAGATGAGCTCCCCACCTTTCAGACCTCTGGGGAGTCACGTTTCGAGCACATCGCGAAGGAGGGTGTCTGGGCGGGGGTCCCGGGAGAGCGGGTCACCGGGCGGTGGAAAACTACGGTCAGGAACGATTGGTCAGCGTGTCACACCGCTGGTTCTGGCTCACCACGATTCGGCGAGGCACGCTCAGCACGTCCAAGTCACCACGCGTCAACGCTCCGAGTTTTTGTTCCCGGCACGCTAACTCAGCCTGCAAGGCAGACCGTGCCGCAGCGGCCGCCGCCGCGACACCCGGGGCACAAGGCCCTGACCGCATGGTGTCCGGCCTCGCAGGCCACTCTCTTCGGGTTGACCCAGAAGGGGGTCCAGCGACAAGGGGATGATGCAATAGATTTGGTGTAATAGATTTGCGGGGTTGCACTACGTTTGGGGCGTGCGATATATTCCGGGGCGCAAATGTATTGCTGTATTTTCGCGTGCAATACATTACTTGCAATACAATGCAATACAACTCTCTGGCGCAATACACATGCAGCACAATTGCCCCAAATCTATTGCACCACCCCGCTTCAGCTTGACCCCCTTCTGGGTCACCAAGCTTTTCTTTGGCGACGCGCACAAGGGGGTAGGGGGAGGGGGGAGGCCTCTTGGAAGGAGGCCGCTTCTCAGGAGGCGCCGGCTCTCTGCACCTGCGGAGAAGGCCCGCGCCTTCCAAAAAGCAGGGGTGCTTCTAGGAAGCCTTCTTCAGAGCCCCGAATCATCAGGGGTATCTCGGGTCAGGGCTAACTCGGGTTCCTTTGTCGGGAATCCAAACCCGAGTTACCCCGGACCCGAGTTACCCCGGATAACTCGGGCGCCTAATTCTCCCCTCCCCCTGCCCCTCCTGTGCGCGCCGCCCCGCACACCGCGGCCGCCGGGCTCACACAGTGTGCGCTGGTGATCCCCGGGTAGCCCGCCGTGCACCTCCGACGAGAGCGGCGGGTGTGCACCGCGGCCGCCCGAGCCGAAGCGTGTGCTGGTGCTCCCGAAGGGCTCCCGCCGCGCGCTCCCGGGAGGGGCTCGCTCGAAGCAGAGCGGTGCCGATGCCGCTCTTCCCCAGATCCTTGGCATCGCTCGGACGTGTGCATTTTTCCTACGGCGAGGACCATCGAGGCGAAAAACCACGCATGAAAAACCACGCATGAAAAACCATCCTTGATCATTTGGCGAGAAACCACGCATGAAACTGAAAAATGCACACGGAATTGACGTCCGAGCGATGGCCAGAGATCTCTCCCGGGGTGCGTGCTGGCCACAGGTTCGCGGAGGATGCGGCCGTGGTGGCGGGGCTCTCCAGGACGAGCAGTGGCATCGGCATGTTGTCATCATCCCATGCCTGTTCTGCTTTGTTTGTGTGGTCCTGCCCCTCTCTGCCGTGGGCGACCCCCCGACCGCGCGGCCGTTCGAGCTCGCCGACCGCGACGGCGACAGGCACGTCACCGCGGAGGAGCCTAGCTTGTGTGGGCGATGCCCGGTCGGCGCGTCGGGGCGCCGGCCCATAGGCCTCGGTGCGGCGTCAGCTATTGAGTGGAGCGCGGGTTGCTGCCAGCGGGATGGGGGGCCCAGAAGCGGGTGCTGAGGTGGCTTACGTCTGGCCTTCTCTGCCTTGCGAGTCGGCGACCCGTGTCTGAGTGACCCGCCTTGCTTGCGGCAACCCCCGCCGCTGTGCTTGTGCAGCAGGGCTGCAGGAAGGCCACTGCGTACAGGAGGAGCCGACGAACAGGGGTCACGCGCGGGAGCCGTCACATGTGACGTATCGGGCGTGGGTCACGCGCGGAAGCCGTCGCATGTGACATGTCGGTCGTTGGTCAGACGCGGAAGCCGTCGCATATGACATGTCGGGCGTGGGTCGCACGCGGGAACCGTCACTTGTGACATGTCGGACGTTGGTCACACGCGGATGCCGTGATGAGGACGGGTCGTGATCGCGACCTCGTCTTCGTCCGCGCGGTAGGGAGGAGGAGGAGGAGGTGGAGGAGGAGAAGAGCATGAGGATGAGGAGGAGAGCCGCTTCTTGGGGCATCCTGGGCGCCTCCTGGGAGCTTCCTGAAGCTTTTTGGTGGCCTCTCGGAGGCTTCTTGGTGGCCTCATGGGGGCTCTTGGGGGCCTCCGAGGGTCCCGTGGGCCGTTTTGGGTGCATCTCTAGGCCGTATTGGTGCCCTCTTAAAGCGGTTCACGGCCATCTTGGGACCTCTCGCGAACCCTTTGGACGGTCTTTGGGCCCTTTTGGGCCGACTTGGGGCCATCACTCCCTTTCGGGGATATCTTGGGCTATCTTGGAGTGAGCTTGGAGGCCTCTTGGAGGCTTATTGGGCCGCGATGGGCGGTCGGAAACCCGAACAGGCGAAACTTTCAAATCCTCCCGAACACAAGCTGGGGAACATCAATGTTGTTGGCCTCTTCTGGCTCTCCAGGAGGGCCTCTTGGAGCCCTCTTGGGCCGTCTTTGGGGCTTCTTGATATGTCTTGAGGCTGTGTTGGGAGCCCTTTGAGCCGTCTTGGGCCATCTTTGTGCTATCTTGGCTGCCTTGAAGCCATCCTGGAGGGCATGTGGCTCCCAAGAAGGTCTCAAGATGTATCAAGATGCCCTCAAGACGGCCCAAGAGATTCCAAGAGGCCTTCCCGAAGAGCCCGAGAATGCCAACACCATTGATTGTCCGTACGGTTTTGAAGGATTTGGGGATTCTGGCATGGTTGAGTTTCCGGCCGCCCAGGACAGCCCAGGAGGTCTCTCTGGGCCGTCCTGTAGCTCTGTTGGAGCGCTCCAAAGCCGACTTGGGGCCCTCTTGGGGCCTCTTGGGCTGTCATGGAGCCCATCTTGGAGGCCTCTGGGAGGCCTCTCGAGCCGTCTTGGGCGGTCGGAACCCCGAACATGCGAGAACCTCGACGACTTTCAAACACCCAAGGACACTCAGTGGTTTAGGCCCCCTCGGGCTCTTCGGGAAGGCCTCTTGGAGCGTCGTCGGCCGTCCTGGAGGTCTCTCGGACCGTCTTGAGGCCCTCTTCGGGGGGCCTCTTGGGCCGTCTTGAGAGGCTCTTGAGCTATCCTGGGCCATCTTGAGCCGTTCTGTTGTCGTCTTGGCCGTCTTGGAAGCCGTCTTGGAGGCCATCTTGGCCGTCTGGAGGCCGAAAAGACCGCCAGAAAAAAAAAAAAAACAGTTTCAGAGGCGGCGGTTTTCGAACCACGCGCGCCGTGCAGGGGGGGAGGCGGGGGGCGGCCCTTGAGAACTATAGCAGGCCTCCCAGACAACAGACGAGCATTCTGACACGCCCACTTCGTGCAGGCGCGGTTGCGAATTTAGGGGGTTTACGATCCAGGCTACATGGGCGCCGCTCACTTGGTGGAGGGACCTGACCCACCTGAGGCACTTAGGGCACCAGCAACCCGCTTCTAGGCCATGTGAGGCCAGACATCATCCACCTTGGCATCCGCTCCTAGGCCCCCTACTCCCCTCGTAACCCCAGCTGTCATCGCAGCACGGGTGGGATAAATATCCTGAGGTCATGGCGTCGCATTTAGTCCGCAACGGGCGATGTTGCCGTGTTTTCAGGTCCTGAGGCCCTTACGGATCCAACCGGTCTACAACAATTGTTACAGAAAGATGGGACTCAGGGTTCCGTTTGAGTTTCTGTCAGGATGTTGCAGTTTTTCGTGACGTCGGATCTCAGTGTACGTTGGCTCAGGGATGACGTTTTCGGACGTTCTCGCGAATTCTCGGCGGTTTCCCAGCCTCGGGGTGCGTTCCAGCAGCTGCGCCTCGCCGAGAGGCGTCCGGGGGTACCTGGATCGTCCCGAACGGCCGCCAGAGACCCGAGAGATGACCCGAACGCCAGACGTCGCGCATCACTGGGGGGCGCAGGCTCATGGGGTGATGCATGGAGCTCCAATCGCCGACAGGGGCTGGGTTGGGGGCCCACAGAATATATACACCACCACGTCGATTCCTCCTCCCTCCTCTTTCCAGCGAGAGGGAGGTGGGGAGGAAGGTGGTGGTGGTGTTGGGCGCCCGAGTTATCCGGGGTAACTCGGGTCCGGGGTAACTCGGGTTTGGATTCCCGACAAAAGGAACCCGAGTTATCCCTGACCCGAGTTACCCCTGATGATTCGGGGCTCTGATCCTCCCTCCTCTTTCCAGCGAGAGGGAGGTGGGGAGGGAGGCGGCGGTAATGTACAGCTGGGGGGCCTCCATGGCTGGCCCCCGCCCTGCTCCGGAGCGTGCCGTCTCGCCAGCGGGGGGCCGGTCGCCGGCCTGTCGGTGCTGCGTCGCCGAATTCCCAGGCCCCCCCCCCCCCCCCCAAGTGTGCAATTCACAACCCAGAGCCTGCCTCTTCAGAGCCTACTTACGACAGATGGCCTCTAGAGGCCGAGCGTGATATATATATATATATATATATATATATATATATATATAGATATGCTTCAGGCTCCGAAGGAGCCTCGTGTATGTTAGCCAAGCGTTTCCCGGCGAATCGGGCCTGCCAAGACTCCAGGTTTCAGCAAGCCTTGCTCAGTAGGCCCTCCGTTTCCCTAGCAACAAGTTGCAACATATATTATAAACAGAATCGGCATTTTTCCTTCGGCGAGGACCCTCGAGGAGCATCCTTGATCAATTGGCGAAGCAACCACGCGCGAGAACGACAAAG